TTCTTGCTATTCAATATGGTTGTAATAGTGTAGGATTTATTTTCTGTACTTTTATTGCTTTTGTACAAATGTTAGTAATTAGGATGTATGGCAAGATAAAACCAATAAGTAGATCACTCTAATCAAAGACTAAATACATGCAAATCAAACACATTTTTCATACACATGCACCCCTAGGGTAATATCACTTGTTGCCTCATAAAAATAGTCATGTCCCTCGAATATGGGCATTTTAGCAAAGACCCTTGATAAAAGATCGTAGTCCCTCGATGACCCTCGATGTTGCCTTCGGTAAACGATCTAGTCCCTAAACAAAAATTGCTAAAACGTCTCATAGGTTTCCTTCTATGACTATACAAACGTCCAACGCCCGTCCCTTCACATCCAATGATGGGGCTTCTTACCAAATCAATGGTAAGATAGCAACATCTAAAGAAGGAGGAAAAGAACATTAGAACTTTTGAGTAGGTAGGACGCTCATAGTTTCTCGCTTGCTCACAACAAAAACATTTTTACACACCAACACTTTCCTTTAAAACATTTTCAAAAGTTAAAACACTTTGTACGCATTCTTATAGAAACAAGAATCATCACAAAGACACTTTTCAAAATCACTTTCAAAAACACATTCCACAAACACCTCTTTGAACTATTTTCAAAACCAACACTTTGTACGCATTCTTATAGAAACGAGAATCATTACAAAGACGTTTTAAAAATACTTTCAAACCCACACCACAAAGCATATTTTCAAACAAAATAAAGTGATCTAGCATGCAACTAAGAGCCCGTAGATAACTACGGATGAAAAGGGTTCTAACACCTTCCCTTTTCATAACCTACCCACTGAACTCAAGAAAATAATCTCAAAGGTCTTTCATGTTCTTTTCACCTTTTCCTTATTGTATAAAAGAAAAGTTGGTGGCGAATCTTGTTATCCGCAACAATTGCAATCAAACGCAAAACACCCAAGTTATTTCTCCCACCGTATTACAGTATGGTACAATTTTTGTTGATTTTGGTAGCTCGTCGTACCACCTTTGTCGAAATAGTGATCGAGACCATTGAATAAAAATTGATGTTGTGACCTAGGAGTAATTTTCCCAAAATGAATGTCTTACTAAACCCTCTTGCGGGAGCCCCTTCATATAGCATGTAGTCTCTCTAGCATGTGTCGCAGAGACTTCATAGTGAAAGAGATAAAGAGAGGTCTCTTTTGCCTTTGGTCTCTAATCATATATATAGCATAGGTTTTAACCCTTATTGAATAGCCACAATTAATGACCATAATGATGTAACCATCCATTAATACTTATAACGATTGTAACCGCCTTTTAATGGCTTTGTAACGCTCGTAATCAATTGTCTTATCATTAGGTTATATTTTCACCTCTTTCCTTCATCGGGACCAACTTCCTGTACATAGGTGGTATTGTGTTGAGCTCATATCTGACTGTCCCTAACTAAGTAGTCGACTCCGATCTCTTTAGGGATGATCTCGTACATCATTATTTATCTGAGTTCATACCTCGGTCTTGATATAAATATTTTAAAATGTACAAACACAATATCATTGGATATCCCTTCACTTGTATCTAAGTCACACTCATCTTTTGGATCATCATTATTGGAGACAAAGGCTCTGCTATTCTTCTTTTCAGATTTTTCATTTATCTCTAACTCAAAGGTTTGTAGGGATCCCATAAGCTCATCAAACTTAATGTTGTTTATGTCTTGAGCTTCTTCAATGGCATTCACCTTCATGTCAAACCTCTTTAGAAGAGATCTGATAATCTTTCTCACCAGCTTATCTTTTGACATCTTCTCTCATAGGGCACCTGAGGCATTGGCTATCTCAATAATATTCATGTGAAAGTCATAAATACTCCCATCCTTCTTCATTCTTAAGTTTTAAAACTGAGTGGTAAGAACGTGAAGTCTTGACATCTTCACCTTGGAGGTTCCTTCATGAGCAATATTAAAGATCTCCCGAGCTTCTTTGACAACAGTGCAATTACTTATTAGCCTGAACATATTCTTGTCCACTCCATTGAATATGGCATTCAATGCTTTGGAGTTTCCCTCTGATGATTTTTCATCTTTTTCATCTCAATCTTCCTCATCCTTCACAATTTTAGTAGCTTTCTAATTTGGGCCTATAACCATTGGTGGATCCTATCCCTTGACCACAGTTATCAAAGCCATGTTGTCCATGGATTTGATAAAGGCCACCATAGGAACTTTCCAATAGTCATAGTTGGTTCCATTAAGAATGGGTGGTCTGTTCATAAATCTTCATTCCTTGTCCATTGTACCATAAAGTATCTTCCCTGAATCTCACCCACAGTCAGAGCAGGATGTCTGCTCTAATACAAATTAAAATTCTAGTATTCAGATCTCAGATGTCCTAACAGACGTCGAGACACCTTTATCTTAACATACACACAATGACAAGATAAGTGATAAACAAAGTACAGAATAAGTAAAGAACACACAAGATTGTTAACCAAGTTCGATGTACAACAAAACCTACTCTGGGGGCTACCAAGCCAGGGAGGAAATCAACTTTATAATATCAATTTAAAACTAAACCCCCCGTTTATAACTTATCACTTAATCATTATCATTGCTTAACTTCTACCTAAGACTCATCTAGGTATGATACCTTTCTCAAGTATCTTCCAATTACAGAACAATCACTGAAAAATTCTAAACACTTAGAAAATAACAAAAGTCACACTTCAAAGACACATAATCATTCACTACTTAAAAGCTTTGGAGTGACTAATAGAACTTACAACTCAAAAACAAAGTCCTACTCTTTTACCAAAATGATAATCGAGAGGCTCACAATTAACACACAAACCCTAATAAAAATACATAGTAAGTTCTACACTTGTACTAGGGTTGAAGCCTTCTATTTATAACCTTCAATGAATTAGATTTGGGCTTCACATATGCACCTGGATATGACAGAGGCGCTGAAAAATTATATCCTCAAAGATAGGACATCAATCATTAGTTTCCTAAATTATTTCCATAATTAGAAACTAAAAATTCTCCTCAAAATCAGCTTGAATCTTTTTAATCTTCAAGTTGCATGCCACATAGGATAGCATAATATTTATAGAATATTTGGCACCTGTAACAAATTAAAATATCCAACAGTTCAGCTGTACAAAATCACGATGTTGAAAGAAACTGCATAGGACATCACATTCGACATGTTGCTCTAGTTGAAAAAACATATTATTTTAACATGTTTATGCTAAGTTAGCTTTACCAAACATAATACCAACAAAACAGAGAATTAACAGTTTACACAAATACATGGGCCATAGGCTTGCCCGATGCTCCAGCATGGAGCATTATTAGTACTTCCTGAATAGTCATTACTTACTAAACAATTACCAGGTTTCCCTGTACATTGCAAATACACCACTTCTTACCATTTTTCCATAATTTGGCAAAGGGTTAGTACTTCAAAGAAGTCAGCATGCACATAAGATAGCATGCACAATGTCATTCATGCAAGGTTAGTATACTAGCACATGAGAGAAGTCACCCAATCAAAATCAAAATATGAACATACATTATTACATAACCTAGTCTCAAGAGGCAAAAGAACCTTTACAGATCCAGAAAAAAATGCTCAAAATAAAAGGGCCAACAAACATAACAAATTACCACCAGGATTAGAATCCCAATTTAACATAAAGGCCTTCAGTCTTTATACCCGATTGAAGCCAGGTAGGTCATCCAGTCTTCATTATCCTATGAGTCAGTTTCTTCCACTGGTTTCTTTTTCACAGTCTTCATCCTAGTAATTGAAATCTTCCCAAACAAATTTTCTCTATATGATGGTCCAACATGTGATCCTCCAACACTTGTATGGGAAAAGGAACCAACTTCATTGTTCTTGTTCTTCTCAGCCTCGAGAAAGAAGATGTTGATTCTTTCTTAGAACTAGATGAGGGTATGAGAACTTTTGTATAGCTTGTAACGCCTGCCCAGTTATACCACACCTGATATAACTAAGGAAACTTCCTTATTTTGTGTGCAAAAGTTGTCTTATGGGAAAGGAACACTTTTTCTCTTTTGACATAACTCCCTAACATTGATTGCTATGGACTCTGAAAGATGAAAATACCAAGGACACACCTTTGTATTTTAAATTGACTTCCATCCAAAGCTTTAGTGAGAATGTACCAGATCAATGTCATTACATCTTGTCCCACAATATACTCCTTCAACATCTGAATCATCCAGGTCAAGTCCCTCCCGTTGCTACTCATAAAATTGTTTTCAACTTCATTAGATGACAAGATTACACATTATTGCTCCTTGCTTATCCTAGATATGATGTTGTTGACTGGAGGAAGTCATTCATCCAAAGAGCACTTCCTATTATCTACATTGTCATCAGTTTTACTCATCACGAGGTTCTTCCTATCTGTTACACATAAATATTTCAATAGTTGTACCACTTCTTCAAATGCCTATATTTCTATTGACAACTTCCTTTCAATACTTGTCCTTTTGTGATACAAACATATAACCTTCAACATTCTTTCCTCATTATTTGTGGGAAACTTTTTTCAATCTAGTGTGAACATAATGACCAACGCATTAACTTCAACAACTTGCTTCTCCTCCCTCTAAGATGGCACTTCAGTTACCACTATGTTACTCACGATATCTGGCACATCTTGGACAACATCTTCCTTATCAACTTTGATTAAATACTTGAGCATTGGTTCACTCCACCACAGTTGAGTGTAAATGCTTCCTTGGGAGTCACTTGTGTAATCCTTTATTTTCTCAAGTTGTATCATAACTTGATAAACAAACTACACCGTCCTTCTTACCATCAAACACTCACTGTTTCTTATGACAACACAATTAGAAGTAACATTCCAAGTACTGTTCACAACTATTTTAGCAGATACCAAGGTAACAATTTCTTTCTCATTATCTCCAATTATGGATTGATCTTCATTCTAAGGAGGCATATCATCCATAGATTGTGTGTTCTTTGAAATCAATCTCAACCTCTTGCTATTAGTAATAAAATCTAGAAGAATGTTTTCATTATTAATCATCACACCTTTCCTTAAAGTCTTCACATATCCCAGAGTGTTATCATGATTAGAAACTACATCATCATTAGTTATAGTTGTATTAGTCACATCATCTTCATGAACATGATCACTCTCCTTATGCACTTGAGACTTTATCAACATGTTAGGTAGGATGTCTTGCACGTTGTTTTCATTTCCTACTTCTGAGAATCTTCACAAGAACACATTAGAATTTTATTATTATTCCTTATATATCCAGACCTGATTTAAACACTATTCATGTGTCCATTAGCAACTATATTAGTCTTAACATCAATGGAATGTTGTGGAGAGAAATATATGATACATACATCTTGCTCCTAGACTTCAAAACACCAGTTTCATCTTCACCAAACAACCTATAATGTTTTTGATTAACCAAACCTCCAGAACTATAATTGACACTCTTCGTCTTAACCAAAGTAGGAAGGTCAAAGTTGGGAGGACCTCCAAACCGGCCATCAACTTTCCCTTCAATGACACCTTCTTGCTAAAGTCTAAAACAATTCTCAAGAGATGATTCGGACTCTTGAGACAGATGTTAGGCCATTTGTTCTGACATTTTATTTGTCCTTTATTCTATATACATATTATCTTATCAATCCTTAGATCTTGCAAACCTCTTATATGTTCCTCAGTTGTGTTCTTCTTCATAGGATATTATTTACCGTTGTTGATGACAACACCTATAGATTTGTAGAAGTTCATATTCCTTCATTGATCACAGGGAAGGTCTATGTTATTCACATTTGTCATTTGAAATTCTGGCTATCAAATCCTGGATGTCCTAAAGGATGTCGAGACACTGAATCCTACTTCACATGCAACAACAAGATATATGGACAAAATAAATAGTGTTGAAAGTAAATAACACAAGATATGTTTACCAAATTTAGAATAACCTTCCTAAAATTAACTAGATAGTATCAATTTGTAGACCTCACAACAAACATCCCAGTTTACAGCCTACACACTTAGTAACTACTATTTGCTTAACTTCTACCTAACACACATCTAGGTATGAGTCCCTCCTAAAATATCTCATCAATTACACTTAGGAATTGGAGCAACTCTAAACACAAGTAGAGAATAAAAACTAGAAAATACACTTCCAAAAACACGCAAGACTCAATGCTTAAAAGCATAAGAGAATTGACACACAATATGTTCAATGCTTAAAAGCTTATGAACATCTAACAGATAACTTACAACCCAACAATAAAGATTCTAAAACCCTAACACAAATACATTGATAAGTTCTACCTAATACTAGGTGTTGTACCCCAAAATTTTCCCTCTCATTTATCGAGAATTTTCTCACAAGATCTCATTGGGTTCAAGACTGCACTAGGGTTTGATCAGCTTAAGACACCTCCTCAGGCACTGATGACCAAAATTAGGGTTTGAGTTTGCACAAGGATTTTTGGACTATCAATTCTACATATGACTTTCAAGGATCATTATGGACCGTCAAGATTATTCATGTCAAGTTTCAAGCCTTGGATCACACTTTTGATCAGTCAATTGAATAGTTGACCAAAAAATCAGTTGTATTGGGGAAAAAGTCAACCATAGCCAATTTACAATCAAACTTCATAATTTTTTATCCACGTCAACATTTTAGACCCATATGTATCATTTGATCAAGTTTTGACCATAATTACTCAAGAAATTTGATCAAATCTCCAAAAGGGCAAAATGGTCAAAATTAAGGTTTTGACTGGGAAGGGGCAATTTCTGATTTTTGACCTAGCAAATGATCAATTGATTTAAGGCATGATCTCAAGAGTCTAATTACATCACTTTAACCTAATTACATGATTCAAAACATTACAAATTCATTGGATTAACAAATGAATTTTGCAGTCAACTGATCAAAAGTCAATTGTATACTGAAAAGTCAAACTTTGACTTTTTGGTCAAATTCAAGTGCCAAAGATCATAATCCACCAAAACATGTCAAAATATGAAACTTATTCATAAAGAAATCAAAAATTCAAGATTTCATTTTGAAAAGTCAAAATTTCTAAACTTAGAAATTTTTCTAAGTGTTGGAAATTTCATGTTTTTCCATAACTTTGATCCAAATTTTCACCATGATGCAAGATGATTCAAAAGAAACTTCCGACATGAAAGTTGTAGATATCCATGAAATATACAACTTTGCTTCACACAACTTCTCCTAAAAATTCTTGAATCTCAAGATATAATTTTGTGAATACATGCTCATGAACTAAAAATAACTTAGTGAAATTTTGCCCTTGTTAGGCAGATTTTGACCTAACTTCATGGTAATTTTTCACATGGTTCTAAGGGGAAATTTCAAAAGAAATTCAAAGATGAGTTGTAGATCACATTTCAAGCTTTCTAAAATTTCCAAGAACTCATTGAGATCATTCTTGAGTAGGGAGAATCGAAGAGATGAAGTTGGTGTTTTGTCACTTGAATTATAGGTCATTTTCATGATGAACACAAATGCAAATCAATGTTAGGCTGCATGATATTTGCTTTGCATGCCTCAAACTTGTTTTTCACTACATAATTAATGGATTACACTAACTTTTGAGCTATAATCCAAGTGATTTAAGCTTTATCCAATTCACATTGCCATTTTTGGAAGAAAGCTAACAATACCATTCTTGTAAAGCAAGCTTTTTGCATAAAGTCCACTCTTGAGCCTCTTACTTGTTCCCTTTGATCACACTTCACATACAAAGTTAGAAGCAAGTGTGTTTAAAGCTTAAATACTCTATCTTAGCAAGTACACAAACATTGAAACTTGTTTTTCTCAAAAAAATCACATGTTTTGCTTAAGGATGCAAATTCAAATTCTGAGTTGTTACAAGCCTCAAAACCTCTTGCTTATAAGTATACACACTATTTGCAAGTTGACACACGAGCAAGAAGCCCCTGAAACTCACTCAAACTCCCTCTATCCAGAAATTGTTCCAAAACACCATTGTTGTGCAAGTTCTGACTTTACATACCAAACTCACATTTCCCTCGTGCGTTTCTTGGCCTTTTAGTTTCTAAAGCTTCCTTGCATCAAGAGTAACTCATCCTTGTGTCTGTTTCATTTCTATAACATAATTTCCCCTGTATTCCATAACCAAAAATAGAGCTTCACAATTGGACTTCTCCAGACCATTCCACCCATCCCCAGCTCAAGCCAGCCATTGCATTAGTGTCCTAGAGGTCCAAGGAAGCTAACGTGATCATCAGTACTGCTTGAAACAAGCTCATTTGCATTTAACGATTTCCATTTTTGAGGTATTTTTCTTGAACTTCTATCTCATTACGTAGGCATTGTTAGGCTTGCATTTGTAAAGATAAAATGTAGACCTCATTGCCACGAAGCTGTACATATCCATAGTTTGCATTTATATGGCCTGAGCTTAGAGAATTTTAGAGTTGAAGTTTCTGAAAATTTTTGGGTTTAAATTAGGGCCAGAGAAATTCTCTTTTATCTTTGACTTTCAGCCTTAGTTATTTACATGGTTAGATTCGTGAGGAAGAATGCAACAACTTTTATTTTGTCACATTCCATTTTTGTTGAGAAATGGAGAAGTTACAGGTACACCGGCTGGAGGTTGCAGATGAAGTCATCAAGACTTGATTTGCCTTATATATTTATGGTTTTGTTTATATAAACGGATGTATAGCCACTCCAGTGGTAAAGTGTGCGCCGGTTCACCCAATGGTCCTGGGCCTGGCATTCTTTTTATTTTTTTGCTAGCATACCCCCTATTTACTTGTGACACCACTTTGGCCCATTTTATTTTTATTTATTTATTTAGTTCTTTTTCTTTTAAGATATATTTTCTAAAACACCAAAAAATCATAAAAAATATAAAAATAATAGATTTATATTTTGACATAATTTAAATATTTTTTTACATAAAAAATTTATTTTTATTCATTATACTTTATTTGTCTTGACTAATTACCTTGTAAGTTAAATTATAAAATAGGTCATTTATTTATTTCTTTATAGTTATTTAAATACATTTATTTTAATAATAAAAAAAGTCCAAAAATATTTCATAATACTATATATTATTTTCAAGACAAAAATATAAAAATACTTTTTTCCTTTAAACTAATTTTCCTTTAATCAACTAAAATAGATTTAGGGTTTTATTAAAATCTTTTCTTAATTAATTTCTTTTCTTAGTTAACTTAAGTTATTTTAATTTAATTACCTTTTCTTCTCTAATTAGGTTTAGGTTAAAACCTCTTTCATACAAACATCCAAACACAAAAATCTTTTCTTTCAATTTGCATTTGTACTTTATATATTTGTACAATATTCAATTTGGTTGTAATAGATTAATTAGGTTTATATTATTTCAATCCCCATTCATAAATTGTATACCCCCTCCCACAAGTGTTGTAATAACGTAGTAACTTTAAATTTCGCCATTTATCGCTTTTACATAATATGCTAGTAATTAGGGTTTGTATGGAAAGAATAATATAAATCAAATAGAAAACCCTAATTCAAGACAAAATCAAGCATGAAAATGACACACTTGCACACAAACACCCATAGGGTTACTCCACTTGGTTTCCTTATACAAAATGGTCATATTACGCATGTAAGGTATATTAGCAAAAACAAACAAATATAACATCATAGTCCCTCGATGACGCTATTCAAAGTTGCCTTATAAAATGACATTAGTCCCTCAAAAATGCTAAGATACCTTGCAACATTGCTAATCATGGCTATACGATGACCCACGCCCGTCCCGTTTACATCCAAAGATAGAGTTGCTTACCAAATCAATGGTAAGACAACAATGTAAAAGGAAAAGAAAATGAACAAGTAATACATTTGAGTAGGTAGATTTCTCCTAATTACTTGCTCCATTTCAAACAAAACATCGTTGCTATTTTCAAAACAAACACCTACACATTTCAAAACATCTTACAAAATTGAAAACATTTTCAAAAGATCAACATCTTTGTATACATTCTTACGAACAAGAATCATTACAAAGATTGCCTAAACAATGGCCTCTTTTACAAAACACTTTCAAAAACCACACAAAGCACAATTTCAAACAAAAGAAAGTGATCTAGAAAGTAACTAAGAGCCCATGGAAAACCATGGATGAAAAGGGTGCTAATACCTTCCCTTTTCATAATCTACCCCCCGAACTCAAGAAACAATCTCAAAGGTCTTTCCTGTGCTTTTTCACCTTTCCTTTTAGATAAAAGAAAATTCGGTGGCGACTCTTGATAAACATAACATTTGCAATCAAACGCAAAACCTTCAAATCATTTCTCCCACCGTATCACAGAACTGGCGACTCTACTGGGGAAAAACATAAAAGTGGCGTTACCTTAGGGTTTAGATCACATTTACTTGCTTACATTGTTTGACTTGTATGCTTTACAATATGGTTCTTAGTTTGGGTTTGAATCCTCTACCCGGATTTGGGATACATTATAGGTAAGTAGCAATACATTGTGGAAACTGTGCGGGGTATAACGACATGGTCTAAGCAATAGCTACATTAATGCGACATATTTGTGGGTACCGGTAGCCTTTAAGTTAATCAAAGAGAATACGGGGCCGCTGAGTGATGTCATAAAGCACTAATGAACTTCTAGAACCTTTACTTGACCAACTTGGCCTTTAGGATGTAGTGAGATGACTGGCTTTGGTGCAGTCCGAAGTTGGTAGATACTCGATACTACAC